ACTACGCTAGGCGGTATGTTCCTAAAAATAAAATATTGACCTAGGTTATTTTAGGTCATTGACCTATTGAATCCAAATGAGCGCTAAAAAATACCCCAGACAGCAAGCTCTAGAATAAAAAATGAATTGATTTTTAGTTGGTCTGACGTTCACAACTGACCTCAAGTGAATATAGAACTTGTTTATTCAATTGTTTAGTTGCCTAAGGAACTTTCTCAGAGATGTATGGCTTTATCTATGACAGCTAACCCTAAGTGAATGGAACCTTTTTAGTCACTTGTTTAGTTGCCTAAGAAACTATCTCAGAGACTTATGATTCTGTGTAACGTTGTTGTTTTTATTTTAAATTAACTGTATTTTAAATTGTTTTTATTGTTTAACTTAACGTTGTTAATTTATGACTCTGTATCAGTCCGTTGTTGCACACGACTAAACGATTCCCCAGAAATTGCCTTTGCTGAACCCATAACCTGCTTTGACCTTCAGTAGGTAAGGGACCTTACAAGGTACATCTAAATTTCTAAAGCCACAAGATTCGCCGTTCAATTTTCTAAACCAATGCAAAATTTGACGTGGCTACGCCGCGCCATTTGAAGACTATTCCGGAAAAGCCTTGGGGATATCAAATCGGCACTCCCCGCCCGAGCGCGTGTTGATGCGTTTCATACGCTCCGTTTTTATCACTATAATATTGTCTGTTACTGATCTGAGCTGAAGTGGTCACCTAGATCGGCCGGATCGCTAGCATTGCCAAACACTAGAGTCGTTCAGGCCTCCACTCGAATTTTGTCCTCCATCCGCCAATGTCCGGCTTGCTTGGCCGGCGTGCGTGCTGCTATCCGGCTCCTCCCTGCGGCCGGCGCCTCGTTAGACAACTCCACTACGACAACCGCCCCTCCACCAAAACACACAGCCCTTCGCAGCGGGCACACCTCCGCACGTGCCATCCTCTCGAAATAGCGCCGGCCGCAAACTCGTCCCGCACGACGCGGCCATTTTCCAAACCGTTATCGCCCACCCGCCCTATAAATGACGTCATCAAATGCTCTTTGCGATATTGCTTGGGGTGATACAACAAAGCAAATAAGGTTAATCTGACATGGGGTCGGCTATGAGCGGCCGGCACGCGACGCTTACCGCCCGCCGGCCCGACCGGTACGGCCACTGGGGGAGAGGGGTGAGGAGGGGAGGGGGGGGTGGCAGGAGCACCGGTACGGCCACTGGGGGGAGAAGGGTGAGGAGGGGGGGGGGGGCAGGAGCACCGGTACGCCCAGTAGGGGAGAGGGGGAGGGGGCGGTCAGGAGCACTGCTATGGCCAGTTGGGGAGAAGGGTGAGGGGGCAGGCCAGGTGCACTGGTACCGCACGTGGGGGAGGCGAAGGGGGGGGGGGGGCAGGTGGACCACGATAGGCACTGATGGTAGGGTGAGGATGTTTGGAAGAGGTGATCTCCCTTGGGCAGCAATAATGACGGCCGTGCGTGAAATGGACTGCAGCCACGCAGGGAAAAGAGCGACGGTAGCACAACATGTGCCCGCGTTCTCACGGCTATAGAGGTCGCAAGCTTGCCTGCCCCATGACGGGGATACCTCCGAGAGAGGTATCCTCCGGAGGTAGATACCTACCGGAGGTATCTACCTCGGAGGTAGATATCTCCGAGGGAGGGTCTACACAGGGCATGTCTCCTCCCAGGATGGCAAAAATCCGCCAATATTTTTACTATTTCGCGTGACATCAGTCAAGCGGCACCGGCTGTTTCCAAACTTTTCGCACGTTAAATGCCGGACCCGGCCCTGTACCAGGTAATAAACGTCCGTGATAAGCGGTGTTCAGGTCATTAGTGGTCACAGGTCACATACTGCCCTCCCTCGCGTCCATTCATGAACCGATCTGGCCAGTATTCCCATCGGTGACAGACCCAGCCCTCCTCAGCAGCAGATCCGTAGTCCACACGTCCCCACTCTCCGCCCGGGCCCGCCGCCCCGCCCCCGTCGTCCTACTCCAGCGCGGCCGGCGCGGCGCACGTGCGCCACGTGCGCCAGGAATGCCGCCGCCGTCAGGTGCGGCGTGTTTGGCGCGATAAACGACAAGCCGCCGACGCGGCGGCGCACCGGCAGCCCGTCTAAATAAACGCTCGCGGCGGAGGGGCATCCGCGCCGCGCGAGCCCGAGGCGTGCGCAACGTCCGGTGACGTGGCCAAAGCCACAGCCGTCCCAGAACAGCGGCCGGCGCCCTGCGGGTATGGGGTCGGTGCCGGCGGACCGCGGAGCAGACGGGGATGCGGTCCCAGTGGCGGGTAAGCGGTGGGCGGGTCCCGGTGGCGGGCGGTGTGTGCCTTCCCCCAGTGGCGGGATGGGACCAGTGCCGCGGATAGCCGTCAGCGCCGATGCGCTGAACAGGTGACCGAGCTGTGGCCGACGCCATCGCTCAACGGCAGCTCGCCGGAAGCCGCGGTCGACGGCAGCACGCCGCAAACCGACACACCGACATGACTCACTCACAGCGTCATACCGTTTGCGGCGGCAAACACACCAGCCTTATTTTCCAACGGCGTGCTGCGCGTGCAGCGTGCACGGTGAAAATGTGCAGCATCAGAGCGCGCGCCCGAGCGGCCTGCGCAGAGACCGTCACAGCGTGCCTGTCCACTCTATCAGTGTCAACCCGCGCAGCCAGCTTCCCCGTGCAAGTCGTACGTGACTGGCCTGTTACAGCGCTCAGAGACAGCTTACATAACCCGCAATGCGTTCTGCGCCCGCCAAGCATCTGATCCCGGTGGGGTACCCGAGGCCCGCAGCCCGCATATGGTGGGATACAGGAGGCGGGCGGTATCCTAAGCCCCGAAACCCAGAAGCAAAAGCCCGCAACCCAGGGTCGACAAGCCATTGCCCTCAGCCCTAAGCCCTCAGCCCTCCCCGACCCACAGCCGACAGCCGACGCAGCCAAACCTGGACCGTCGTCGGTGGCAGTGCAGTCGGCGGTGCGCTGCGCCCCCCCCCCCCCCCCCGCCGGCGTCTCGCCGACGGCAATGTCTCGTGCCGGAGCCCAGGGCCGTGCGCTGGCGTCGATCGACAGGCACGAGCCCAGCTCAGTCACGTTCTGCACTCGGCACCTGGCACGGCCGTCAAGTCAAGCTGACGGTCGCCCCGTGAGGTCAGGGCCGGCTAGAGCTGGCCGGGGGGACGGTGTGGCCATCAGCTTGAAATGGGGGGGGGGGGGGCATTCCGCTCTTGTGATCCGCGGCAGCGCCGTGGCAAGCGCTTTTTCGTCGTGACCCGCAACTTCAACGGGGTCTTCGTAAAATGTGCTGGCAAAATTGGTAAAAACTATGCCACGGTTATGCAGTGGGGGGAGGGGGAGCTAAGCTCTGTCTCAATGTTCCCCACCGTGGGCCACTTGTCTGCATTGGATGGCAGTACAAGGATCGTTACGGACACAGGTATGGGCATCAGTCTTGGCCAAGTGTCATTAGACAGTCCTTTGATATTTGGTCGTCCCAACCAGGCCTGACCTATCGCTTCTGACGCATTCGAAAATGTGGCTGGAGGGATAACGTTGACTAACCCTTCCTTTCCGTTCACACCAGTTCAGTGAATTCAGTTGCGGCGCTCTGTTTAACGGGAACGCACCACGTCGTCAAGAGCACTTTTGTAAGGAACCAGCGGCTGCAGTGATCATAATGGTGCCAAGGAGCAATGGTGCGACTGAGATTTGAACACGAGTTCTTCGCGCGACAACCGAGGGACGAAATAGCTTAATCATTAGGCCCCTCGTTGTGATTAAATTGCTCTTGGCGTAAGTAGTGGAAATAGTCCATATATGGAGCATTCTGCACATGTGCAAGGAGCTGTGAGCCACATGAGAGCGTCCAACTGATATTACGCACTGCGGCACAACAAATGGCACCGCACTCTCGTACGCCTGGAGTCAGTGCCTACCAAATGATTGTTGGTGGCTGGAGCAGTTGCTCATGCTCCAAGTCCATGATGTCTCCCAGCCATATATATCCCCACCACCCCCACCTCCTCCGCCGCTGGGCTCAACACAGGATGTCCCCCGTCCCATGCCCACCCCTCCCCACCCCCTCATCGCTGGGCTCAGCGCCGAACGTGCTGCCGTCGGCCACCGCCGGCTTTAACCTGGCCGGCCGGCTGAGACGGGTCCGATATTGCGGCGGCCGATTTACGACGTCGACAGCGCTGGACGACACCAGCCCGACCCCCACGGCCAGAGGCGCCGCCAGCGAGGGGTTCCAGGGCGGTGATGTGCCCTCTCCTTCCATCACCACGCGTAGTGGCACTTCCGTTTTGCAAAGTCCGTTTTTTGGCCAGGTGAAGTTTCTGTCCATGGCTGAGGCCAGGCACAGCACCACATGTTTGAGCGCGTTTCGAAGAGCCTGAGCACGCGCCTGCCGGCGTCCGAGCGCTCTAATGGAAACCCTTCCCATTTGACGGGGATTAGCCGTACGGAGTGAGCGGGCCGGCAGTGGCGTCAGGCGCCATCTGACACAGAGCCGCCGCGTGGTGGGGCGCGGTGATGGCGGGATGGCCGGCTGGAGACCGGGGCCCCTCGGCTGGTGACCGGCGCCGCTCGGCTGCTGGCCGGGGGTCAGCCGGCTGGTGACCGGGGGCCTCTCGGGTGGGGACCGGGGCCAGCCGGCTGTGGACTGGGGCCAGCCGGCTGGTGACCGGGGGCCTCTCGGGTGGGGACCGGGGTCAGCCGGCTGATGGCCGGGGTCAGCCGGCTGTGGACCGGGGGCCCCTCGGGTGGGGACCGGGGCCAGCCGGCTGTGGACCGGGGCCAGCCGGCTGGTGACCGGGGCCAGCCGGCTGGTGACCGGGGGCCCCTCGGCTGGTGACCGGGGGTCAGCCGGCTGTGGACCGGGGCCAGCCGGCTGGTGACCGGGGTCAGCCGGCTGGTGACCGAGGCCGGTTGATGACCGGGGCCCCTCGGGGGGTGACCGGGGCCACAAGGCGCCAGGCCACAAACCAGTCGACTCACTTACCGCCACCTCGGTCAGATCCGCCAGGCTTATGTTGTAGGCGGCATCTCTGTAACACAAGGGCGCCAGATCAGCTCTCCGTCACGTGTACGAAGAAACGGGACGGCGGGCGGGCGTGTGCACGCACGGGGTCCGCGTCCGCTCCCTGCACTGCACGGTCATCATAACAGCCAGTACGGTCACCTTGCTCGACAAATACCCGAGACCGGGGGATCCATTCCGTTATGACTCTCCTTGCAAGGAAACGGTGAGATGAGCAGCGGTTTGATTATCATTAAGTGTATATAGCGGTTTGCGGTTTGCATGTAGCGGTTTGATCATCATAAGAGTCTTGAAGGCTCACAGCGTCGGCATTCCACGCTGTTGCCACGCGTCCAGCAATTATACAACCTGTCTCGAAGATGAGGGCGACAGGGCAGCTGAGCTACTTCAAGAAGAGATGACTGGCCTGTCAGCCAAGTGGCGCTCAGCTCGTGTTTTGGCTCACAGAATCAGCCTGGACTGCATCTTCCTCAGTCCCACGGTTCTCAGACAGCGCGTCGGTTTTGCATCGCAGGCCACGCATTATTCCGCAGGGCGCAAACAGATGCTGACAGTTCGAGAATTATGGTAATGCGAGGCAAAACCTGAACACTTGCCTCGATTTATAGGAACGAAGCCAACAAAAGCGAGGATCGGTTGGAATGTGGCTATGAGCATTTAATCGTGGCCTGCGCCACTAGGAGCCCACAAGGGCGAGGCGCACCCAAAACCAAACTAACAATACCGTACCCGAATATATCAATGTCTAATGAAATGTCTGATGGTCGCTGGTGGTGAGAGGTTACGCGGGAGACGGCCGAGAGGTTGAGCATTGGTTCAAGACGCTGCAGACTTCACCACACACCTCCAACAATGATTCTGTTTGGCAAGGTGACGTCCGAGATGGGCCGAAATTCAGAGTACCTCTGGACCTCAGTTCGATCTCGAAGATTCTTCGTCTATGTATTATATATATATATTCACTGGGAGTAGGCCAGCAACAATGAACAAAGGTAGACTGAAGCTGCACATTTGAATGGGCGTTTCCATACATTTTCCTGTCGCATCATGTGATGCGCACTGCAGTCAGGAGACAACAAATCAGTACAACTTGCAGCGCACCCAATCACCGGCAATAGTTGGTATTCCAAGTTCTCCGTTAGGGTCAACACAGTTAAGGGAACTTCGCCATGGAGCTCACTTCCTGTCAGGCAGCAATCGCTAGTGACAGGTAAACCCGTTGGAGGATGCACTAAATGCCGGGAGGCGAGAAAACCTAGAGCTGAAGACGACTCATTTCATCTCCTATATGCTCCGCACATCGGGATGGTTGCCAAAATGCCTGTCAAGTAAGGCCACCTCAGTGGGAACACGGACCGCGGCGCTCCATTTCGATCTAAAGCTGAACACCCAAACGGATATGATGGAATTCGCGGTGAAATAGACACCACCGCTGACGAAAGCGCGCTGTTTATAGCATTTCTAGCAGCATACCAAAGTCTTCCCGCATGGCCTGAGGCAGCAGCGTGAGGACACTGGAAAGCGCCCAACACCGTGGTTCTATGGGAGGGAGGGGACGCCGCCGCACAAACTGTGGCACCGGCTAGCGCGGTAAAAACAGCAGACTAAACACACTGTCACGCCCGTTGATGGGCCAGTTTGTCAAAACGGGCTTAACGTATCGAGGCGATGACGCGACCAGTTTAACCGTGGAGACTGGACGGCTTGTTCGTGTTGTGAGCGCCCGAGGAGATTGGACGGCTTGTCCGTGTCATGAGCGACCGATCTCGTCTAAGCTGGGGCCGAGTTGAATCAAGGCCGGTTGTTTGCCTGCCTGCTCGAGTGATTACGAGGGCCGTTGTAGTTTGGGACCCCGCGTGGCCATAGCTCGCACCATTTGTGCAGACTGCCTTAAAAATAGTTTGCTCTCACGCTACTGATACGAAGTATTTGCCGAATGTACTTTTGCCACCTTGTGTTACTTGCTAAAAACATCGGGTCCAGTGTTTAACTGAACACAGCCGTCAGATCTTTACGAATCAATGGATCATTCACTTCCCGAAGGTGAGCACACCTCGCGGCGGCCATTTTACCCATCGCAGCATAAACATCGGGCAGGTACCGTTGGCAAACTAACAGGCGCGAGGGGCAGGAATCGAAACTGGAATGACGTCATCACCCTGTGAAATCCTTCCGCAGGCGGTGATGTATACGTAACATTTATGGGGTGACAATCCCATAAAGTTAAACGCCTTCGAAAAATTTGGAAGGGGGCGATGAGCGAAGGGACTGTTGTATCACCGTGTCCGTCCACACTGGGACAAAGAGGCCAAGTGTGAATGTAGGCCATGGCTGAAGAGCATCCCACACACCCCTGCGCATCTGCAGCCAGGCCAAGCCTCAGCCCGCCCCCCATCACAGGGCTTCACACATCGGCGAAAAAATGGCTTCACTAGTGATGTCGTAGCGCCAATGAGCACAGGGGCATGCGCTCAGGAAAGCCGGCCAGCACCCGGGCTGGCTTCCCTCGCGCCACAGGTTCCCAGTGATCGTCACACCATCGCGTCGTCACGTCCATCACGTCACTCAGTGACGACAATCACGTCACGCCGCGTCGTCACGTCACGCTGCGGTGGCGACGCGCGCTTCTTTCCCTCCCTTCTGCGCCTCCTGCGCCGCGAAATCCAACGACCGGCAGCAGCACACAATCAATCCTGCTGAAATGTGGCGGAGTGCCGGCGGCGCCGCAGCCGCCATGGTTTCCGGCGGAAGTGGTCGCAGCGGAAGCAGGTCAACCGCGCCGCCACCCGACCACGGCAGCGACAGAGTTCGGCAGGTGGGAATGCGCCCTGAGCGTCACCGGACTTGGCGGACACTTGACAGAAATATTTGCATCATGCATGCAGTGGGCTTCATTGAAGTTTCGATTACATGTCACCAACGATAAGGTGCAAGAGCTCACTTTGCTCTTTGCCCGCATTGTTCCGGAGATACTTAACGAGGTTCATTTCTGGACTCCAGTGCAGTCGGAAGTGACACATTCCATGACACTTTGCTCCCTAGCCCAAACTGCATGAATGCTTCGGTGAAGGCGCAAAGTACCTTAAAGTTGACATATTTCATAAGCGTCACATATCTGACGCAACAGCGAAGTGTTGCACAGCTCATATAGACCCTGGTCAGTTTGCGGGCCACTCGGGCCACTCTCAGTATTCTGGGCATGTCTGCCGCCCAAACGACTCCAGCAAAACTCGTGCGCAGTTCGCCAGCGGAACGGCCAGTTAGAAAGTTTGGTGATGTCCGTCCAGGCCGTCTGGCGTGCGGCAACTGGGGCGTGGATTGCTCCATGAGGCTCTGAACAGTCGGCTGAGTTCGCCTCATATCAGTTCCGACAGTCAGATATGTGACGTGGCGCTACAAGACTGATAGTTTAGGAGATTATCTACGCGCTGGATCGTGCGCCCTACAGCCAGAGTTGCAGTGTTAAAGATTGCCGGCCCTTCTCCGGCTCCGGCCGCGGTGTCACCAGCCACCACTGGGACATGTAAGGGAAACGCAGCACAATATCTCCGGCCCTCGGTGTCACCAGGCACCATTGGAGCATGTAAGGGAAACACGGCACAATATATCTGGTCTCGGTGTTACCAGGCGTCATTGGGGCATGCAAGGGAAACACGGCACAATATCTCCGGCCTCGGTGTCACCAGACACCACTGGGGCATGTAAGAGAAACACGGCACAGTATCTCCGGCATCGAAATAACCAGGCGTCACTGGGCATGTAAGGGAAACACGGCACAGCATCTCCGGCCTGGAAACACAGCACAGTATCTCCGGCTTCGGTGTCACCAGACACCACTGGGGCATGTAGGGGAAACACGGCGCGGTATCGCATGGCATATTCCCAACGTATGCAATGCAAGCAATCAATGTTCTGTACGTGAATACAGCTAATGCTCTGTTTTATGTTGATCAAAAATTATGCCAACGCCCAAGGTATATCGACACGCTTAAGCTGGCTTAGCACAGCCAGTCAGGTAAATAAGCATGGACTAGAGTTGGTGAAAACACGATGTCATATATTTTCGTATGGAATACGCGGTAATCAACCGACGTTTTAGCACACGCTTGCATTTAATTTGATTCGGAAACTACCTACAAGTTACTTATACTGCATCACCCAGGTTATTGGGCGGCGACGAAAAAGAGGCCAGATACGAACTTGAGGGATGCAGTTGCCCTATGTACCTGTGCAGGTACATAGATACTTCAGCCAAGGTCAATACTTTTCAACAAAAAAGGAATGTTCGGATGTCCCAACATTTTTCCAGCCCTGAGCCATTCCTTTCATAAATATCATACATAACCCATGCTTATCACCACCTCCTGATAAAAATGTAAATACTGGCGATCCAAACCGCCACAAAAGCAAACATAGTAACTCCTGCCTCAAGCAACCAAACGCCAGGTGTCCAACGTGCCAGAATGAAATGTGTTATTTTCTTATCCCCCACGGGAGTCTACGAGCTTTAACACACATCTTCATGAATCAGAGACCCAGAAGCAAATCGTCACACAACTTGTACCGCGGATAACGTCGCCAACATTCCGAACGATGAAACGGAGCGTCGCGGTGACTCACCCACTCGTCATGCTCATGCAGCCGGCGGCGTGAGGTCGCTTGTCTACCGCAACCCCCACGTGGAGCCACCGAAAAATGACGCGCTGTAGCTGAGTGGTGGAAGCTGCGGTGGATGATTTATGCCCGTCGAACTCGCCGCTAATGCGTCAGCGGCGCCAAGAAATACCCCGCAAAAAGCACCCAGACTAAATTTGTGGGCAGCTGTTGACAAAGATTGTACACCACACGTGCCATTGGGGAAACAGTGCCGATGCACGACCGGGAGCCGTTATCACGATGCGTAGCTGGAAGTACCTAACTACGGCCCAGTGGTTACCATCTAAGGACATGCCTGCGTGTACATCAGGTGGGTAATTTGAGAAGGCATGATAAACATTTCTGGAGGAGCGTTGGCAATTATTTGTGTGACAATACAGACATCAGATGCTATAAGTAACGAGCAACAAATCTTCCGGGCGGGAAGGCCCGACATGCGACACCACTTATCCTGCAAATAGCTTTCCCTGCGTTCAATACAATATTCAGCGCAACCTTACATAAATGGCTCCATAAAAGGCTCCTTCACAATTTTGCGGCGCGCTTTCCACTCTGCACTGTGGGCAGAAGTGGGGTGCTTAGCTGCCGCTTTGTGCGAGTAGAACTAATTTGGTATCTGACTGAGGGTGATCGTTGCATCCGGTCAGGTCATGTGGGCTACCATGATGCATTCCGGTTGCAGACGGTGCACGAGCTGCCCTGATTTTTTTCTTCAGAGACACTCATACTCGCATGGTGACGCCGGCATACTGATGTGTTTTAATAATGCCGCAAGTGAAGCAAGTAATTAAGGAAGCTAAATATACAGTGCGATTGAATACGCATGGTTAGCTCTATGAGTTGGCTGTAGAAGCTTTTGTTTCGCTAATAAACTTGAGTTCAGCTTAAAAAAACAACCGCACCTTACACGAAAGCCCTGACACAAAAAATGATTAAGTCGAAAGTGCATGTTAATGATGTAAATGTTTATGTCAAAATCTTCAAAACAGGAGCGTACGTCTCGGCCGCATTCGGTGGGTACCAGTGATTATGAAGATACCAACGGTTGATTCCCAGCATGCCGTTGACTGGCATGTCCTGATATGGGGTTGCTGTTGCAACGGCACTGCGCGTGCGCATGCGCAATGCTGGGTTAGGCAAGAGTTGTGTGCAGCCAGTTTTAGATGAGTGACAGAGCATGCACTTCATTAACCTGAGCACAGCGTACGCATGGCTAATGGGATGTCACAATATTCGCATGGCTAATGGTATGTCATAAAATTAATTGTTGCTCCCGTCCTCTTAGATCTAAGAAGCAGTGTAGGAGGATTCCCCTAATTCTGAGAGGTTGTTGCAATACGTAGCACGCTTGATGATTTGTGTTATGAGTGTCTCAGATGCAAACCATAAATCTTTGAAAATTGTCATGTCGTTTGTTTCCATGGCGCTTGGCTACGGCCTTCTTTTGTCAGGGCCCCGTGTCGAGGACGCCATGCCCACAATTAGTCACGCGACCGTCCCCCACGGTGTCAAACAATGATCGCCCCCCCCCCCCCCCCGGCCTTAAATCAAAAGCCTTATCCCGTTTTCCATCACACCGCACATATTTGCAACGTGACGCATCTTGCAAGTAAGTCGTCACTAAATAGAATATTAATTAGAGTTTTTCAGCACTCTCCGAGAGATTACGTAAATCGTTAAGATGCATCTACTTAATGACTGATCAAGATCAAACAAATCAGACTTTCCTTAGAAACGTCCTACGAAGATTCATGCCAGTTGCGTTTATGACCCAAAAAGGATTATGCAGATCTGGCGGCAATTCCCTCAAAGAGTTCTACCAATCTCACTTTAGTCCAGTCAGCAACAGCAGCAGCAGGCCATCGAACGATAGTCCAAGAGCTCGGGCTTTAAATAGCAAATAACTGAACTCATGAAATTCAAAAGCAGAATGAATAGAGGAAATGCTCATGAATTGCACTGGGTCGTGATATCCGGGTGGGTGTTAATTAAGTGTGCCCCAGATTTCCCGCCACGTCAGCGCATGGCGGGCCTCACCTGGCGCCGATGACGACGAACTGGTCGTCTCTATACAGCATGCGGAAGTAGTCGCGCCCGCTGTGGTTGGCGCTGAACGCGTCGGTCGCAGCACGCT